TTGTTAGGACTGGGCCCTCGTCTTATAAAAAAAGGAAGTACTGAACCGCGGTCTCATAAAGGTTGAGCACCACTGGTGTAAACTGTCGCCAGTCTGTATATAAGAGCTGCATGTTCATTTGGTTTCCCCGTTTCTTTTGTGCACGAATTCGCTTGGATCTGCATTACGAGCGTGACATCTCCGCCTTCACATCGTGGGAGAGCACCGCTCAGTGGGATGGAAACGCAGTGCAGATGTACTCCTGTATAAACAATGGATGCAGCAAGCCGCTGCCGACCGCGGTAGGTCACAACAGTTGCCGTACCTGCCCCCATACGAGTTTGCAGGAGACTAGTGACGCGTGTCCTCCCGAAGACTTCCACTGCGAGTGTTTATTGCTCTGCGCAGAAAAGTGTTACAGTTCACTGGGAACGAATGTCGCGTCAGCGCACCTGCTTCGTTATTCACAAAGTCCGGGGTTCAAATCTAGGACGGCAGACCGTCTATCTTGACCGAGCTTTATCTTGGTTTTCTTCAATGCTTTCAGTAAAATGCTGGGTAATACTCAAATTAGGCCACAATCGCTTCTGTCCAAACCCTTTCGAATTTATTCATTAACCATCCTATTAATCGACGCCACAAGACATATAGTGTGAGCTACTGACAGAGTCGTGAAGTAAACCATAACTAAACTAACTCCATGGAGCTGAGCCCTTCTTGAGAAGCCGCCAATTGTTCAGCTACTCAAGAACTTCCCAAATTATATGGAACCCGAAGGTTCATTACCATCTTCACAAGTGTCCTCTACTGGTTCCTATCCTGAGCCAGGTCAATCCAGCCCATACCACCCCATCCTATCTCTCTAAGAGCCATTTTCCTGTTATCCACCAACCTAAGTCTTAGTCTTCTTCCTAGTTGTCTCTTTCCTTCTGGCTTTCCCACCAGTGCTCAATATGCACTCCTCTTCTCCCCATTCGTGCTATAGACCTTCAAATTTTACTTGGGGAAGAGTACAAGTTATGAAGCTCCTCATTATGCAGTTTTCTCCAACCTCCTGTCACTTCCTCCATTTGGTCAAATATTCTCCTCAGCACCCTGTTCTCAACCACCATTTTTTTTTTATTGCTAGTGGGGTGGGACTAAGTCCCTTGCACTGAGGCTACTTCTGGCCTCTTGTACCAGTCCCAGATGATAGGTGAGGGTGGTTGTGGAGCAATTGGTGGAATGAATATTGGCAGGGGAAACCGAAGTACTCGGAGAAAACATGCCCCAACGCCACTTTGTTCACCACAAATCGCACTTGACCAGACCCGGGCCGCCGCGTTGGGAAGGCAGCGACTAACCTCTTGAGCTATGGCGCTCAAACACCCTTAGTCTGTGGTCCTCCCTTAATGTCAGAGACTAAGTTTCACACCCATACATAACCACAGGCAAAATTATAGTTTCGTATATTCAGATTCTTAAGTTTCTAAACAGCAGACGAGAAGACAAATGGTTCCGGACTGAATGGTAGAAAGCATTACCTGAATACATTCTCTTCTTAATTTCCTCCTGAATCAAGTTTTGATTTGTCACTGTCGTTTCCAAATATTTGAACTGTGCCGCATTTTCAAAAAACTTGTTAGCTATCTTTAGATCCTGAATTTGACCTGCATTTTGGTGACGAGACAGCAACATATACTTAAGATTTCTTTGTGTTTACTTCTAGACCAACCTCATTACTAGCGTCAGTTAGTTTCTGTGTTTTCTATGGTATCTATTATATATTATCACCCAGTAGATTCACATCATGAACACAGACCAGCAGCTGACGTGTCCCAATTAATTTCATTCCCACCTGGTTTTCCTGGACCTCCCTAATGGCATATTCTAAAGCAAAGTTGAAAGCTGTGGCACTAAGGCATCTCCTTGTTTTATACCATTTCTGGCAGGAAAATTATCAGACAAATATTTACCTCTATGGACATTACTATAGGTTTTATTTAAACACATTTTAATGAGCCTAACTAGTTTCATGGTTACCCCCAAACTCCGTGAGAATATTGTACCATACTTCCCTCCTAACTCAAACACAGGTTTTCTTGAAGTCTATGAATAGATGATGTACTGTCTCCTTATAGTTCCTTTTTTCCACCGATATCTGACGAATGCAAAATGTCTGATCAGTAATCATGAATAACTACTCATATATATCAATGAGAGAGTATAATCATCGCAAATTAATATTATTATATTCCCTCCTATGTTTTATCTTTCTATATTATCATCTTTTTTCTCTTATTCTTCTTTCCTTTCCTTCTGTTTTTCATCTCTTTATCTTCTTTTGCTTCCCTTTCTTTATCTCTCTCCATTTTTCTTTGTTTTCCTCTCCATAAACCAAACCAACCAATCAACAATCAAGTATGTAACAGAACAGATACACCTACGCTCCCCTTTACAGCAGTGTTTGTAAACACTGAATTTAATAGAGTACATAATCCCCAGTAGAGCCATTGTTTGACCGATCATGTTGAGGCAAAAATTTGAATCTCGGCCAGTCTACCGTTCTTCTGGGTAATTGTTTGACTGGTTTCTCTCAGACTCTCCAAGTAAATGCCAAGAAATTTCGAATAAATCATGACCATCTGCTTTCTAGTTCATACCTTTTCACCATTAGTGATCATCTATCGAAGCTTTTCGAATCTCTATAATCGCTTCAGCTGAAGCAGCATCGTTGAGAAACTTATACTTACTTAATCCGTTCTTCTTACACCTTTACGGTGTCGAGTTTTTTTTTCATTTTAATCATTTTACAGACAGTAGGACTCCTTAGACGAGTGATCAGCCCGTCGCAAGGCCTCTACCTAAACACTGGGCAACACAAACACAGAATTAACACATACACATACCAAACATCCATGCCTTGTGTGGGATTCGAACCCACGATCCCTGATTCCGAGCGAGCGAAGACAGTACATGCCTTACACCGCTCGACTACCGTGATCGGCGAAAAACTTATGAATATATGAAATAAAATACTGCTTTCATGAAGCATCTGGAACCGGGTTAGCTCAGTCGGTATAGCGACGGGCTGGACGTCCTGGCTCTGATTCCCAGCAGGGGCAGGATATTTTTCTTTCCTCTACAGCGTACAGACCGGCTCTGGGGCCCACCCAGTCTCCTACTAAATGGATACCCTATAGAGCGGGCGGAGCGTTAAGTTCTCTATTCACCTCCATCTAGTGTCAAGGTAAACAATAATGGAGCTATACCTCCACTCTCCCATGCGTCTTTACGCCATAGTGATTAATTAACACAGATAACTTTAGCTTTTTACCTTTTTATTTACTTTTTAATTCAAATTTAACACTTGCATTTTATTCGGGTGGCTCTGACTGGATTCTCAGCCCGAAAACCGACTTTCCTGACCGTAGCTGTTCGCGGTTTACTCACTTCCTCGAGGCAAAAGTAAGAAAATAACCGTATAAAACAGACCACGTCCGCTTCTTACCACATTCTTGCCCGTTATGTAAATTTGCACTTGAAAAGCGCCGTTAAACAATTCATAAGCTCTCCAAACTATCACTGCCAATTCATTATTACATCATTTCACGGTTGCTATTCGTCTCTGGATGTCATACTGCCTCCAAAGGTACTGAAAGTTGAACGGTTTAGAGATACTTTACCTTAAGCGCAGATATTCTACCCTGATGATGGAGGCAGCCGATTTCGTCCGAAGCACTGGTACGTGGTATCTCATCCCTGATAACCAGGGCCCGGATTTTGATGACATGTCATCTTTTTTTCCTTGTATCCTATGCGATGCTCTTAAATATATAAATCTCGGATATGAGCTGCTGGTTACAGAAACGTAAATTTTATAGGTATTTTTTGTCATTTGTTGACATTTTTAGCTTTAAGGTCATTTTTTCCTTTTGGGGGTATTTTTTTTATAAATTTTTGGACTTTTAAGGGTATTTCTTGTAATTTTTGGCCATTTTAGGGAATTTTTCTTCATATGTTTTCTGAAATGTGAATAACATGGAAGCGAAGTGTTCTTCCTTTTCTCCTTTAGGTCATTTTTCTGGATTTTTTCGGTCATTTTTTGAATATTTTCGGGTCATCAAAATCCGGGCCCTGCATGTTACATTTTCGGGTCAAAATTTAGGTCATTTTTCTGGATTTTTCGGTAATTTTATAGGTCATTTTTTAAATATTTTCAGGTCATCAAAATCCGGGCCCTGCTGATAACAGACACTGCAGTGACAACCTCAAATATCGGCTAGGAAGATTAAAGTGAAGGATGAGATGGCACTTTGTCGAAGTTCACCGTACGCTTTCCATGGAAACGGGGAGGACCCTGGAACCAGTCTCGACGCTATGGCCTTGACGTGAATAGAACCCCGACTCCGCCCGTTAAGTGTCGCTGTACCGATTATGATTGGTACAATTGTAAGAGCGGAAAGTGCATCAGAGTGCTTCAGGATCGTATATTAGTGCTGCTGAAACTTCGGGTTATGCTACATAGAATAGGTTTGTCTTTTCGTGATGGGACAGATACTTATTTAGTTTTTTATAGGCCAACGTCCCTATTTTCTCGTCATAAGCGCTATCGAGACAAATCAATGAGTTACACTCTACCGAGCGAAACGAATGAATGAGCATACGTCATATACAGCCGAGGCAAGATTGGGCCCGGCGATACTGTGCTAGATAGCCCCCTGCGGTCCCGCCGGCTATCCATACACGCATGGGTATGTTCTCTACAGCTTGGCTTGGTTCCAGACTGCACCGTCACCGGCGCTGCAGTCGGCTCGATGCCACGAATCCTGTTGTTTGGTTGTACGCAAGGCCGGGCTCTTCGCACTCGGCAACTGGTGCTTGCGTAGGCCACGCGGTTTTTTACTTGCTTACTAATGACAATAGGGACCCTATGTAGGGTACCTCAATTCCACCAACCACCGTGGTGTACCCAAAATTAGAAAAAAACAAACAAACTCATTCGTATCGAAGGTGTTAGTTGTGGTTGTGTGCTTGTTTTCTTATTAACCTCTTTTCGCTTTTCTGTGGAATTGCGTGGGTCTGCCAGGAAGTGTGTTGCCTCGCATGTATATGTGACTTCTCTAATTTACTTGTTTTAACACAGCAATGTGTGTGGATATGTAGAATAAAGACTAGTCAGGAATGCTTGGCTTTGGACGGAGACTGGAAAACGAAAAACCACAGATGCTCTCTGCGTTTGTTATGCTCCTTGCATTTGCGGTGTTTTTGTGAGGTTTGGCGGTTGGTGATTCCCGTCGATAAGGAAAGTAAAGTGGTTACAACATGAACAAAAGACTGCCTCCTTCCGTGCAGTTTCCCTGTAATCGTCATAGATTAATCCATTGCAGTAATTGAATAGCGAATGACTGTTGCATCGGAACATCTCTTACAGCACGGTGAAGGGGAGGATGAAAACTGGTGATTCACGTGTGTTTTGTAACCCTCCTTCCCCTCTGCTGCACACGCCTATTCGCTACCTAAGACAAGGACAAGTGTATGCAATGAAAGTTATACAGTAGAAAGAACCGACATGCGTTTCCAGTTAAATGCGCCCATCTGTGAAGCACTATTGTCATTAACAATTCGTGTTACCAAGACGGCGGGTGTGTCTAGTGGTTATTCATGTTTTATAGTTGAAATGAGATGATGGATACATTGTTGAGATTAGAAATGCCAACAGTGATGAAGGTCAAAGAACCTAATTGTAGTGAAATACGACAAAAGAGGTATTGTGAAGATGACGTTGTTGTAATGGACGGAAGGACTACGAGAAAAAAATATTGTGGTTTCAGAAAGTGTCCTAGGTTCGATGTTCGTGGTTGTCATATCAATTTGTGCTGGACAGTGTGTTTTATAGTTGTTACGATTTTGTTGTGGTATCCAGGCGTAAGTTTCGGGATGCCAGCTCCAGGAAGACTTGAAGCGGAGCAGCGAGCAGCAGGGAGAGAACACGGTAGCCGACAGAAGAGGGCCATCATTGGCGACAATGTGGTGAGTACCCCGATCAAGAATCTTTTGTCTTATATAGTTAAGTTTCAGTGTACCACGTCGCGAATTTCGTGGTAGTAAAGGTTCTCAGTCGGTGGTCGGAGAATAGTGTCTGTTCCTGATGCTGATTCTTACAAAATGCAACAAAATACTATTACAGTGAACTTCTTCAGCTGTCATGGATTAAATCAGTGATACCCAAATTCTGTAAATGTACCCGTAGACGTCGCGGCCCCCTGTGATCCACATATGATTATATCTACATGTTATATTAATCATATTGTCTGCAAGAAATGGCTTTATGGGATTGGTCTGTTCCAAATGAAAGTGTGAAATATAAACAAACCCCAAAAGTACGTCTTATCCGCATGTCTATATAAATTTAATGTGTTACAAATCTTTATTTCTGCTGCTTTTTCTTCGGTGCCTCTTACTCGTATGTAGAGCTGTATTCCTGTAAAAGTCAGTTACGAATAAGTACAGACATTGAGTCCCACAGGTAGCACAGCACACAAAACTACTCATAGAGAGAAAGATAAAGAAATTGATATTTAAGGTTGTTTTAAAAGCATTGTGTTGCTCTCTTACTGCGCCGAATAAGACCAATTTAGTGAGCATTTAAGAAACTATTTGCTTTTCATATACGTCACATCCATAACGGAAGTAGCTAAATCGGACATACGGTATGACAATTGTGAAAAAAAAAATACATTTTGCGCTTAGAAGGAAGTGTCCTCTAGTTTCAAACACAGATTCACCAACGACACGAACGACGGCTAATATTACGTCAGAAACTTGAGCGATCTCCACAGGGCACTGTGATAAGATTAGCGAACTGGAAGGGCTTGTGGATCAGATGTCTGGTCGGTAGCAGAAACGACTGGGAGGATGAATTTAGTGTTTATTTAACAGCGCTTTTTAACTCGTAGGTTATATCGGATGGTAGTGTGTATTCTCTTTGATGAATTGGGAAAGATATGAAACAATGAGTGTCACGGGAAACCTCAGGAGAGCCCCTGTCCGTGTCAAATACGAGGCAGGAGAGTTAGCAAGTTAACCATGACATTGAACAGATACACGATATTACATCTATAGTATCAGACAGCAGGATAAAAGGGGAGAGAACATGTTGAAAATATTACAAGGAAGTCATACTGCAGAGACAGTTTTGAATTAAAATCCAAAAGGAACATTAAGACCAGTAAGAAGAAATATGGAGCAAAGTAAATTTAATTTGCGAATGAATATAATTTTAGACGTTTAACAGAAATGAGTACCAGCAATTAGTTAAATAATTTTCCTGGGGAGTAAAGCACGGCCGGCGCGTAAGGCTGACAACCTTACCGCCATCTTTGAGCCGATTGTCTAGATCAGTGCTTCTCAACCGCCGGGCCGTGGCCCAGTAGTGGGCCCTGGCATCAATTATACTGGGCCGCGAGAGGCTCTTCTGGAATTTGTCATTTTCAGTTTCTAAGCATTTTTCATGAATAAATATTTTATAGTGGAAATATTCTGAGGAGAATAATATTTGTGTCGAGAAGCTCAGACACAGAACACCTAAATCTGCGTTGTAATGTCAGTGCCAAGCCGCATATTTTTAAACATGGAAGTATTCATGAATGATCGGGAATTTTCAGACATCCAAATCTTTCAAACGCTGAATAACATAAGTTTTTGGTGATCAGCATGGGATATATCAATGAAAATTAGCACAAATTACTTTAATGATGTTGGTCTGAGGAAACTACAAAATGCTACAAGATTTAATTAGTCCAGTGACTGATAACTAATTTAAATGGAATTTTATGTTTGTCAACATGCCACACCGTATACATAAGTGTACTAATACTCTTTATGATTATGCTATAATTAATTACTAATATTACCTTAGCTTAATGCATGAACTTTAACAAAACTGGAAAGATATTTACGAGTAAATTTGTTGGGACTGGGCCCTCGAATTATAAAGAAAGAACTTACTGGGCCGCGGTCTCATAAACGTTGAGAACCATTGGTCTAGATAGTGTGGGAGCCTCGACGTTTCACAATCCTATGGGCCTTCACGGCCTGTTACAGGGATAGCTTTACTTTTTTGCCTTCATTTCTTGAAGGTGACGATGATTTAAATTGTGGAGAAATTATCAAATTGAAATGAGGCTAGAAATTGTTTAAATATGTAATCAGAGTTGGAAATTTAAATGCGCTCAATGGTAACGAGCCCCTAACCGTTGAGTTGGAAGGCTTGTGTTTTTAGTTACAGCACATCATCAAAATACAGAATGTTCATAAATTCTTACGTGCTGTTAAGTGCTTAAATGAGATTCAGCAAGAATGGACATATGAACATTGTAATTCATCTTACGCCTTCACATGTTTTGTTTACGAATTTAAAGTAGGCTTTTTTTTTTTTGTTGCTAGTGGGGTAGGACTAAGTCCCTTGTACTGCGGCCACTTCTGGCCTATTGTACCAGCCACAGATGATAGGTGAGGGTGATTGTGGCGCAATTGGTGGAATGAAGATTGGCAGGGGAAACCGAAGTACTCTGACAAAACCTGCCCCAGCGCCACTTTGTCCACCACAAATCCCACATGACCAGACCCGGGATCGAACCCGGGCCGCCGCGGTGGGAAGCCAGCGACTAACCGCTTGAGCTATGGCGCGGCCTAAAGTAGGCTTACAGATTGATCTGTGTAGATCGCGAAATTTCACGTTATGGAGTGTCAAATACTGTTTGTTTACTTTAGCAAATATCCCTCTTAAAAGCTGTCCCTGTGCTCAACGAATTAAGCACTACGCCTTGAAGGCGTATGGAGGTTGGATGTATAGATCCACATTTTCTTGATCTCGGCACTAGCTGGAGTTGAGTGGTCAGCTTCACGCCCCGGCCGCTTTACCCCTGGGGAAAGGACCCCCGATACTCTTTGCATAGGAGGTTGGGTGAACCCCGGAACCGGTCTGGACGATTTGGAGAAGAGAAAATTCTTGACCCTTCCGTGACTCGAACTCCGACCCCCCTGTCGTCCAACCCGTAGCCAGTCACTATACGGACTAATTATTTCTTAACACTTGCGTTGTACAGGTTGAGATCCTCAGGATTATCATATGCTTACCAACGTGACGGAAGAGTTTCATGCCACTATCTTCATGTCGGAGACTGGAGGCAGCAGATTTCTCCGAAACGGCGGTAGCCATCCACGAAACCACATGGTATCATAACCCCGAAAACCACAATCTGAACTTTCATTGCCGTGAAAATGTAGCATGTGAACCGTATGTATGGGCGTAATTCTGGAGTTCGTATCTGCAGCAGTGAATTTATTCATGTGTCTAGGACAACAGTGACGTCCGCAAAGTTGCAAATAATGGATGTACTCCATGCCGGAGTACACCTTTTTAGCCCTGTTGATTGAGTCCATCTGTTTTGTGTACTGTGATATTGTGAAAGAAAAACTCAATAGCCACCCGCCCGTGGACTGCTTACTATTCTTATACAGATGGCTCGAAGTGGGAGCCAGAAATAACCTGCTTAAAGATAGATGCTGTAGGGCACGAACCCCATATCTGCTGATTACAAGGTTATGCTCCAGAGTTCCCACCGAAGTCGTGAATTCTGAAACTTGATAACTTGCATCGTATTTCTGTGTTCAGTCATCTGGCTTAGATTTACAGTGACGGCCGTATGTGGGCAACGTGTACTTAGCACCGTCTGCACCAATTTTTAGTAATATATCTTTCCTCATGGGGGTTTTCATACGTAGTGTTGTACGAACTGCTGCCCCATTCGTTCTACATGTCCGGCCCATCTCATTATCTTAGATTTAATCGTACGAATAATACTAGATAAAGGGAAATATTACGTGCTATATTTTGTATTTTTTTTAAGAGTTAGATAAAGATAAAGTTAAGAGAGAAAGTAATTAATGGATACCACAAAAAAATCTTTAAATGACCTTAAATACTGATAGATCATAGTTCACTACTTCCGGTGTGCTTTAGTTCATCTGCAACCCCGGTTACTGCTAGTCTGTATACATTCATGTTACTAACCTATTCAGGGTTGCTGCATATTTATAAACAGCACTTTATAAAGCATAAAAGGCCTTTTAGGATACCCCCTAAGGTAAGCAAAATTTGATTCAGACCTTCATGTATGCCTGTGACTTCTCTGTTGTTAAAGTGTGTTTGCGTGTTTTTCGCTTATGTTCTTTAGTTTTTTTTTCATTTCCTTTCATTACTCTTTTATTTTAAATTTATTTTTATTTCGAAACTAGCAGTTGTATTGAGTAAGGAGCGGCACGGGAACAGAAAGTTGCTTAATCCTCCCTGTCTACTTCCTGAAACTGAAATGCATAGAAAAGCTATTCTGATCACGCAGTCTCCGCTATTGTAATGGGGTATCACTTTTCCGAACGCCAAAAATGAAAAAAGGAATGTAAATCACCATTTTTATTGCCTGAAGCGAAATATATAAGCATTAATCTAAAACAGTTGAAGTGGGCACGCGGTAGCGCAGTTGGTTGAGGCTCTATGCTACAAGCCGGAAGGTTGCGGGTTCAACCCTTCCAGCGGCACTATGGCCCTGGAGTTGACTCAGCCTGTAACAGAAATGAGTACCAGGAATCTTCCTGAGGGGGGGGGAGGAGGATAACACTGACCTCACCGACATCTGTGAGCCGATTGTTTAGGAAATGTGGGAGTCTCGACATCTCACAACCCCATGGGCCTCCAAAGCTTGTTACAGGGATATATACCTTTTTATATAACAATTGAAAACCCAATTACGATATAACATACCAATATAGATTAATTTCGTTCCGTAAAAGCCCTGCTCCTTTCACATTGAAGCGTTGTCTGTAACAGTATCAGTCCTCCCCAATGATATCGGCCAACTTTTTAGGGAACATGTTTTGTTGCATGAACTTCAACACTTGCTGTTTCACTTTGCAGACCATGTCACAAAACCATCCCTTTCCGAGGGTATGAACTAACTAACTTCATGGAG